GAGAGTCCATTCTATTGGACGTAATATGGTCACATGATCAGTGTGCAGTATATAATCTGTAGGTGGACACGCTCAGTGTTGTCAACCTTGGGGCAGTATGGGGGATGGGGGATGTAGTATCAGGGCAGTATGGGGGATGTAGTATCGGGGATGCAGTATGGGGGATGGGGGATGATGTAGTATCAAGGCAGTATGGGGGATGGGGGATGTAGTATCGGGGCAGTATGATGGGGATGGGGGGGAAGTATGGAGGCAGTATAGGAGAAGATGCAGTATGGTTGAAAGGCAGTATCGGGGCAGTATGGGGGATGGAGGATGCAGTATCGGGGCAGTATGCAGGATGGGGGGTATTGCAGTAGTATGGGGGCAGTATGGGGGATGTGGGACGCAGTATGGGATGCGGGATGCAGTATCGGGGCAGTATATGGGATGGGGAATGCAGTATCGGGGGATGGGGGTAATGGGGGATGGATGGGGGATGCAGTATCGGGGCAGTAGGATGGGGGGTATTGGGGGATGGGGCAGGAGGATTCAGTGGGGGATGCAGTATGGGGGCAGTGGGGGGGGGATGGGGATGCAGTATCGGGGCAGTATGGGGGATGTAGTATCGTATGGGGGCAGTATGTGGAGGATGGGGGATGCAGTATGGGGGGATGGGGGAAGTATGGGGGCAGTATGGGGGATGCAGTATATGGGGGCAGCATGGGGGATGTGGGATGCAGTATGCAGTATGGGGGGCAGTATGGGGGATGGGGGAATGCAGGATGGGGGATGCAGTATGGGGGATGGGGGATGCAGTATCGGGGCAGTATGGGGGCAGCATGGGGGATGGGGGATGCAGTATGGGGGCAGCATGAGGGATGTAGTATCGGGGCAGTATGGGGGAAGAGGCAATGAGTTACAAGAGAAGGGGGATGAGGATTGTGAAAAGTCCTGTTTATGGGGTACTATTGCCATGGTTGCAAGGAAACCGGAATATTCTGTAGAAAATCAAAGCTTGCTTGCAGGTTGAGATGCGTCTTGTCCCTGGCAGCCCACCTTGTCCTTCCCTGTAAGAACAGATGTTGGGGGAGGGGAGGTAAGGGGACCCCAGTGTGTCTCAGGATGTCCCTCTGTCCAGGCAGAACAAGGCGGTCATTGTCATCCTGCGGATTGAGTGATGGGAAAGGCAGGTGAGGGACTCTGGGACGAGGTGTGTGACAATGGCGTCCTCTGAGGGATCAGTGACGGGACGGTGTAATGGAATCATCACCCCCCCCCCCCGTGCCTGAGTGCAGCCATTGTACTGAGGAATCTCACTTACCACTGCAATGGGGGCCAATCTCTGGGGGCCGCAGTCACACGGGTCTAACATCACCTCACAGAGAGCTCCAGACATCACATAGACACAAGGTAACGAGACGTCTGAAGAGTGAAATGTGACATACAACGCGGGGAAGACCCTTCTGTCTTCCCCCATGACTGTCCCTCATGTACAGAGCCAGCTCCATACAGACATGGATGACCAGTTTGGGGTGGAGGAACTCCAGTGTCCTGTATAGAGCCCCGACCTCAACCTTTGGGAAGGATTGGAACTCCGATGGTTAGTCAAGTCTTCTCATCCAACATCAGGACCTAACCTCACACATGGCCACAAACTCCCACAGACACCCTCCAAAATCTTGTGGAAAGTCTTCCCTAAAGTGTGGAGGTGGTTAAAGGCCATAAAGTGGGCAACTCCATATTATTGATCATGCTCCATGAAGACATGGATGACCAGTTTGTTGTGGAGGAACTCAATAATCATGGCCATGGTGTTTGGAATGAGATGACCAGCTCTATATGGACATGATTTAATCAGTTTGGTGTGGAGGAACCCGAATGTCCTGAACAGAGCCTTGACCTCAACCCTACTCTTCACCTTTGGGAAGAATTGAAACACCAATTATGAGCCAAGTCTTTTTTAGTGTCCAATATGGGGCCCTACATGTGAGCCAGGTCTTCTCCAACATCCATTCCTGACCTCATAAATACTCTTTTGGCTGGATGGAGTTTTGTAGGAAGCAGTCAAAGAGTGGAGCCAGCTCCATTAAGACATGGTTTGATCAGTTTGGTGTGGAGGAACCCCCGAGTGTCCTGTACATAGTCCTGACCTCAACCCTACTAGTCGTCTTTGGGAGGAATTTGAAACACAAATTATAAGCCAAGTCTTTTTTAGTGCCCAACACATGAACCAGATCTTCTCCTCCAACCTCATAAATACTCTTTTGGCTGGATGGAGTTTTGTCAGAAGCAGTCAAAGAAAAGTGGAGCCAGCTCCATAAAGACATGGTTTGATCAGTTTGGTGTGGAGGAACCTGAATGTCCTGTACATAGCCCTGACCTCAACCCTACTGGTCGTCTGAAAGACAGATTATCACCCAAGTCTTTTTTTTGAGCCCAACATGTGAGCCAGGTCTTCTCCTCCATCATCTGTCCTTTCAGGCTCATGGTTAAAAAATAATAGTAATGGGGTCATCACACTCAACACTGACACTATATGGCCTAAAGATGTGAACCCTCCCAAGGATGGAGGTCAGATGTCTCCAGTGAAGGATCCTTTTAATACTTCATCATATATAAAGATATTGTAGACAATTGTGCTCTTCCAACCTTGTGGTAACAGTTTGGTGAAGACCCTTTCCTCTTCCCCCTTGACTGTCCCCCTGTGTACAAAACCAGCTCCATAAAGACATGGATGACCAGTTTGTTGTGGAGGAACTCAAGTGTTCTGCACAGAGCCCTGACCTCAACCTACTGACTACCTTTGAGATAAATTGGAACACCAATGGTGAGTCTAGTCTTCTCATCCAACTTCAGGACCTGACTGCATAATGGGCACAAATTCCCACAAACACCCTCAAAATTCTGTAGAAAGTCTACCCAGGAAACTGGAGGATGGTATAGACACAACTCCGTATTAATGGCAACGGGGGAGGAGGGCAACTCCACGTTAATAGATACAGGAGGGCAACTTCATATTTCTGGCCATGGGGGAGGGAGGAAACTCCATACTAATGCACAGGGAGACTGCATATTAATGTCTAAGGATGGGGGGGGGGGGGTAACTCCATATAATGGCCATGGGGGGCGATTGCTCCAACCCTATTTCCATGAGGCAGCAGGGAAGCTCCATATTAATGGCCGTGGAAGGGGTTGGGGGGAGTACTCCAGATCAGATAAATAGTTACTCCATAGATCAGATACACTATATTGCCCCAAGTATTGGGCCCCCCCCTTTCCACACACATGACCTTTAATAGCCCCCCAGTCTTAGTCCGTAGGGTTCAATATTGAGTTGGCCCCGCCCTTTCCACACACATGACTTTTAATGGCCCCCCAGTCTTAGTCCATAGGGTTCAATATTGAGTTGGCCCCGCCCTTTCCACACACATGACTTTTAATGGCCCCCCAGTCTTAGTCCATAGGGTTCAATATTGAGTTGGCTCCGCCCTTTCCACACACATGACCTTTAATGGCCTCCCAGTCTTAGTCTGTAGGGTTCAATATTGAGTTGGCCCCGCCCTTTCCACACACATGACTTTTAATGGTCCCCAGTCTTAGTCCGTAGGGTTCAATATTGAGTTGGCCCCGCCCTTTCCACGCACATGACCTTTAATGGCCCCCCAGTCTTAGTCCGTAGGGTTCAATATTGAGTTGGCCCCGCCCTTTCCACACACATGACCTTTAATGGCCCCCCAGTCTTAGTCCGTAGGATTCAATATTGAGTTGGCCCCGCCCTTTCCACACACATGACCTTTAATGGCCCCCCAGTCTTAGTCCGTAGGGTTCAATATTGAGTTGGCCCCGCCCTTTGCAGCTATAACAGCTTCAACTCTTCTGGGAAGGCCCCCACAAGGTTTAGGAGGGTGTCTATGGGAAGGTTGGACCATTCTTCCAGAAGCACATTTGTCAGGTCAGGCACTGATGTCGGGGGAGGAGGCCTGGCTCGCAGTCTCCGCTCTAATTCATCCCAAAGGTGTTCTATGGGGTTGAGGTCAGGACTCTGTGCAGGACAGTCAAGTTCCTCCACCCCAAACTGGCTCCTCCATGTCTTTATGGACCTTGCTTTGTGCACTGTGCAGTCATGTTGGAACAGGAAGGGGCCATCCCCAAACTCCTCCCACAAAGTTGGGAGCATGAAATTGTCCAAAATGTCACCTTAAGATTTCCCTTCACTGGAACTAGGGGGCCAAGCCCAACTCCTGAACAACAACCCCACTCCATAATCCCCCCTCCACCAAACTTGGCACAATGCAGTCAGGTAAGTACCGTTCTCCTGGCCACCGCCAAACCCAGACACGTCCACCGGATTCCCAGACAGAGAAGCGTGATTGGTCCCTCAAGAGAACACGCCTCCACTGCTCTAGAGTCCAGTGGCGACGTGCTTTTACACCACGGCATCCGCCGCTTTGCATTGCACTTGGTGATGGAAGGCTTGGATGCAGCTGCTCGGCCATGGAAACCCATTCCATGAAGCTCTCTACGCACTGTTGTTGGGCTCATCTGAAGGCCACACCAAGTTTGGAGGTCTTTAGCTATTGACTCTGCAGACAGTTGGTGACTTCTGCGCACTGTGCGCTTCAGCATGCGCTGACCCCGCCCTGTCATGTGACGTGGCCTACCACTTGGTGGCTGAGTGGCTGTTGTTCCCAGTGGCTTCCACTTTGTTATAATCCCACTAACAGTTGAGCGTGGAATATTTAGTAGCCAGGAAATGTCCCGGATGGACTTATTGCCCAGGTGACCACCTATCACGGGACCACGCTTGGAGTCACTGAGCTCCTGAGAGCGACCCATTCTTTCACAATGTTTGTAGAAGCCGTCTGCATGCCTAGGGGCTTGATTGTATACATCTGTGTCCATGGAGGGGATTGGAACACCTGAATCACATGATATGGAGGGGATTGGAACACCTGAATCACATGATATGGAGGGGATTGGAACACCTGAATCACATGACATGGAGGGGATTGGAACACCTGAATCACATGATATGGAGGGGATTGGAACACCTGAATTACATGATATGGAGGGGATTGGAACACCTGAATCACATGATTGGGAGGGGATTGGAACACCTGAATTACATGATATGGAGGGGATTGGGACACCTAAATCACATGATTGGGAGGGGATTGGAACACCTGAATCACATGATATGGAGGGGATTGAACACCTGAATCACATGATATGGAGGGGATTGGAACAGCTGAATCACATGATTGGGAGGGGATTGGACCACCTGAATCCCATGATTGGGAGGGGATTGGAACACCTGAATCACATGATATGGAGGGGATTGGAACACCTGAATCACATGATATGGAGGGGATTGGAACACCTGAATCACATGATTGGGAGGGGATTGGAGCACCTGAATCACATGATTGGGAGGGGATTGAAACACCTGAATCACATAATTGGGAGGGGATTGGAACACCTAAATCACATGATTAGGAGGGGGGGGGATAATACTTTGGGCAATATAGTATATATTGTTACTCCATAGATTAGATCATTGTTACTTTATGGAATGTATACATTGTTACATCCTGCTTTGACATGACCCCATTATGAAGTGACATCACCCGGTACAGTATGACATGACCCTGTACAGCATGACATCACCCACCACAGTATGACATCACCTGGTACAATATGACATCACCCGTACAGTATGACATCACCCACTACAGTATGACATCACCTGGTACAGTATGACATCACCTGGTACAGTATGATATGATCCTGTACAGTATGACATCATGCGCTACAGTATGACATGACTATGTACAGTATGACATCACCTGGTATAGTATGACATCACCCACTACAGTATGACATCACCCTGCACAGTATGACATCACCCAGTACAGTATGACATCACCCGGTACAGTATGACATCACCCTGTACAATATGACATCACCCACTACATATGACATCACCCACTACAGTATGACATCACCCGGTACAGTATGCCATCACCCCGGTATAGTATGACATCACCCAGATACAGTGATAGCACTCAGATTCTGAGTGGGATCATCCAAACAGATCATGACATCATTGAGATAGAGTGTGACATCATCACCCCTGTATGGGGACCTGATATCCATCCAATGTTCATCCTGCGATTCCCGCCTCAGTCTACAAATAGTAACAGCAAATCTTCCTGTAAATTCCCTGACTTCCTTCTGCGGATACATTTCCTGTTTTTTGGTGTCACCGATGGGCAGCGTATCCCCATCCCACACACATCAGAGCGGGACATGAGCGGGTTGTTCTCCATCCAGGTCTGTACAGCCACCAGTGACACCATGCTGCTCTCTGTGACACCATGCTGCTCTCTGTGACACCATGCTGCTCTCTGTGACACCATGCTGCTCTCTGTGACACCATGCTGCTCTCAGTGACACCATGCTGCTCTCTGTGACACCATGCTGCTCTCAGTGACACGCTGCTCTCAGTGACACCATGCTGCTCTCGTTCATCCAAATCCCTACAAATGATCCCTGGCGTATGTATAAAGGCAGCAGGGAGGTTTTCATGTTATCAGTCACCACATCTGAGCTTCCTCTATGGTCTCCCTATCATAATGATAATAAATATAATATTGGTGATGATAATAATAATAATAATTAGTGTTGATGATAATCTCGGTAATAAGCAGAATAATGATAATATTAGTGATGACATTAATAGGAGTTATGAGGCGGCTCCCTGCGGGGGGCGCTGTGCTGTCTGACAGATCCATTGTTGGCCGTTATCACAGGCGGAGCTCAGACAGTTCTGTGGAATTTCCTGGTAACACCCAACCGGAGGGAATCCGGAGTATTAATAGCGGGCGACAGCGGGGAGGATTAACCCTTCACCCCCCAGAGGGGGATAGAGACTGTGACCCCCCCCCCCCCCCCCCCCCGCTGTCTGTATCTGTGGTGTATACACTGTGTATATATAAGGAGGGATCACTGATGATGGGCGTATTTGGATGTTCTGTAGCTCCTCGCCCTCTTCTGATCTCCATTCTTGCAGGAGGTGTATAAAGCGCAGCACACATATAAAGAACTAAACCTGAACTGAATCACTAAGCCTCATCCCTAACCCACCTCCTAACTGACCTCCTAACCTAACCTCCTAACCCAGGGGTGGGCAACTGTGGCCCTCCAGCTGTTGGTGAACTACAAGTCCCATCATGCATCTGCCTTTGGGAGTCATGCTTGTAACTGTCAGTTTTGCAATGCCTCATGGGACTTGTAGTTCTACAACATCTGGAGGGCCGCAGTTGCCCACCCCTGACCTAACCCAACCTCCTAACACAATCTCCTAACCTAAACTCCTAACCAACTCTTCTAACTTAACCTCCTAACTGACCTCCTAACCTAACCTCCTAAAAAAAAATATCCTAACATAACCTTCTAAACTAACATAACCTCCTAATATAAATATAAGATAATAACCCAAAAAATGAACCTGAACGGAATCACTAAGCCTCACCCCTAACCTCCTAACCTAACCTCCTAACCAAATCTCCTAACCCACCTCCTAACCAAATCTCCTAACCTCTTAACTGACCTCCTAACCCAACCTACTAAACTGACCTCCTAACTGACCTCCTAACCCAACCTCCTAACCCAACCTCCTAAAAAAATATCTTAACATAACCTTCTAAACAAACCTCCTAATATAAGATAATAACCCAAAAAATAAACCTGAACGGAATCACTAAGCCTCACCCCTAACCTCCTAACCTAACCTCCTAACCAGATCTCCTAACCCACCTCCTAACCAAATCTCCTAAACCTCCTAACCCTCCTAACCAAATCTCCTAACCTAACCTCCTCCTAACTGACCTCCTAACCCAACCTCCTAACTGACCTCCTAACTGACCTCCTAACCCAACCTCCTAACTGACCTCCTAACCTAACCTCCTAAAAAAATAACATAACCTTCTAAACTAACCTCCTAATATAAGATAATAACCCAAAAAATAAACCTGAACGGAATCACTAAGCCTCACCCCTAACATACCTCCTAACCAACTCTTCTAACCTAACCTCCTAACCTAACCTCCCAATCACAGTAAATGTCCCCAGAAGTGTCAGGTCCCTATTCCATGTAGATCAGGACAACCTCTGACATGAGGGATATGTAAGACCCGACACCATTGTCCTGTATAACATAAACTTTATTTATAAACTTTATTTATAGAAACGACAACCCCCCCCCCCCCCCCCGCAGTGCAAATACTGCCACAGGGCGGCGGGCTGCGCAAAATCACCGATATATATTTATATATATACATACGTGATTTGCATTTCCGGGAGGGGGGCGCACACACCACCCCACCTGTGCTGCTATTGGTGGATAGAGATGTCAGTCATCGGGAGATTTCCAGTCGGTTGGGGAACAGTGACAGGGGAGAGGTCTGTATGTAGACAACACGGGTCTGTCTCCTCCCAGCAAGGACATGCTGCTTTGTATCTCCGCACAGCATGTCTCCCTAGTAACACAGCACACAGTTAACCCTTTGATGGCCCCAGATGTTAACCCCTTCCGGCCCAGTGCCATTAGTACAGTGTCGGGGCTTTTTATTAGCACTGATCACTGTATTGGTGTCACTGGAGATGTCAGTGACGTCACGTCAGCCCCCCCCCCCCAGTGTCAGAATGCCCACCGCAGTCCCGCTATCAGTCGCTGATCGCCGCCATTACTAGTATGAAATAAAAAATAAAATCCCATTATCTATCCCGCCATTTGTAGACGCTATAACTTTCACGTAAATAAATTCATTTACACGTATTGGGATTTTTTCAGCGAAGACGCGGAGCGGGAGACATTTTGGCTGAAATTGAGGAAGCAGCCGAAGGTGTACACATAGCGCAGCAGGAATTACGCCGCGTTTGCTTTTGGTGGGCGCTGCCGCCTGTCAGTCACTACCCATTCATGTAAATGGGGCCACTCTGCAAAACCCCGGCCGCCATCTACTGGTCACCTGGCCACCATCTACCGGTCACCCTACTGCCATCTACCGGTCACCTGGCCACCATCTACCGGTCACCCTACCGCCATCTACCGGTCACCTGGCCACCATCTACCGGTCACCCTACCGCCATCTACCGGTCACCTGGCCACCATCTACCGGTCACCCTACCGCCATCTACCGGTCACCCTACCGCCATCTACCGGTCACCCGGCCTGCCATCTACCGGTCACCGGGCCGCCATCTACCGGTCACCTGGCCGCCATCTACGGTCACCCTACCGCCATCTACCGGTCACCTACCGCCATCTACCGGTCACCCGACCGCCATCTACGGTCACCTGGCCGCCATCTATCGGTCACCTGGCTGCCATCTACCAGGTCACCACACCACCATCTACCGTCACCTGGCCGCCATCTACAGGTCACCTGGCCGCCATCTACAGGTCACCTAACTGCCATCTACAGGTCACCTGACTGCCATAACTACAGGTCACCTGACTGCCATCTACCGGTCACCTGGCTGCCATCTACTGGTAACCCTAACGCCATCTACCCGTCACCCTACCGCCATCTACTGGCCTCTATCTACCGGTCACCTGGCCGCCATCTATCGGTCACCTGGCCGCCATCTATCGGTCACCTGGCTGCCCTCACCACACAACATCTACCAGTCACCTGGCCGCCATCTACTAGTCACCTGGCCGCCATCTACAGGTCACCTGGCTGCCATCTACAGGTCACCTGACGCCATCTACAGGTCACCTGACCGCCATCTACAGGTCACCTGACTGCCATCTACAGGTCACCTGACCGCCATCTACCGGTCACCCTACCGCCATCTACTGGTCACCTGGCCGCCATCTACCTGTCACCTGACTGCGATCTACAGGTCACCTGACCGCTATCTACCGAACACCTGGCCGCCATCTTCCGGTCACCTGGCCGCCATCTTCCGGTCACCTGGCCGCCATCTTCCGGTCACCTGGCCGCCATCTAACATTCTACTGGTCACCTGACTGCCATCTACCAGTCACCTGGCCGCCATCAACTGGTAGATCGCAATCTACGGATTGCTGCCACCCACCTTGGAACATGTCCCGGGATATGTACGTTTGTGCATGTATGTGCACACCCACATAAGCATACTGTCACATGTACACATGTGCTGACACATAAACACATACATGTTCTTTTATTGAAGTACCAATCAGTTACCTCCTCTCAGGAATATTTCAGAACCTTCCGCAGAGATGATGGCAATCCAAATCCCAACAAACAGCCAGATATTGCACTGCTTTACCATCTATGGGGGGGGGGGGGCAGAAAAGGACGAGGCAATCCTCCCGTGGAGTCCTCCCACCATGCAGTGCCGGGTACTTGTCACGTCTGGGACCCGGTGATGGCCGTATCTCCAGGAGCTTCCAACCCTCTTCACCCTCCACAATACTCGGCTCTGTAGCCCCAATTGTGCCGCCATATATATGGCCCCTGGGACGGCACACCCGGGGACACCAACCGGCACATTGTGGTCAGGTGAATTGCGTTGGCCAATCACAATGCACTGTCGGGGCGCAGTGCATTGTGGGGGGAGGATGGTGAACAGCCCACCTAACACCGTACCGTTCATGTGTTCACCGAACTCGACTCGAACAATCAACCCTACTGCTAACCTTCTAACATGACCTCTTAAAATGACCTCCTAACATGATCTCTTAACATGACCTAACATGACCTCTTAACATGACCTCCTAACATGATCTCTTAAAATGACCTCCTAACATGATCTCTTAACATGACCTCTTAACATGACCTAACATGACCTAACATGACCTCTTAACATGACCTCCTAACATGACCTCTTAACATGAGCTCCTAACATACCCTCTTAACATGACCTCTTAACATGACCTCCTTACATGACCTCTTAAAATGAGCTCCTAACATGACCTCCTAACATGACCTCCATAACATGATCTATTAAAATGAGCTCCTAACATACCCTCTTAACATGACCTCCTAACATGACCTCCTATCATGACTTCCTAACATGACCTCTTAAAATGAGCTCCTAACATGACCTCTTAACATGACCTCTTAACATGACCTCTGAACATGACCTCCTAACATGACCTCCGAACATGACCTCTGAACATGACCTCTGAACATGACCTCCTAACATGACTCTTTCCCCAGCCTCCTAACCACAGTCTGAACCTGATTGCACAACATCATGGAAAACGTCCCCGAAGTGTCTGCGCCAAAAACAACCGTCCGGAACGTCTGGAACTTCTGATAGTGAAGACATCGGAGATAAAGTTCCGGCTCTGAGGGGACATGTTCCTTCACACGGCCCACTTCCTGCTGGAACTTCCTCTGCAGGCGGCCTGAGCCGGTCTTGGCACAGGACTCCCAGTGCACACATGTCACATGACCCCCCCCAGTGCACACATGTCACATGACCCCCGTGCACACATGCCCCCCTCGGTGCACAAGTCACATGACCCCCTGGTGCACATCAGAGGGCTCCGAGGGCCACAGGTTGGGCACCCCTGTTCTATATGAACAAAGAGAAACATAAAAACCTTTTACACTTATTGATACGTCCGTTCCTCACCCCGGAAACCACCAAACAACTCATCCACTCCCTTATTATCTCACGTCTGGACTACTGCAACTCCCTCCTCACCGGCCTCCCTCATCACAGGCTATCCCCGCTTCAGTCTCTCCTGAACTCAGCGGCCAGACTCATCCACCTCACCAACCGCTCCGTATCTGCCACCCCCCTCTGCCAATCCCTCCACTGGTCTCCACTCAGTGTCCACCCTCCCTACCATCCCTCCACTGGCCCCACCAGTGTCCTCCACCCCCCTCTACCAATCCCTCCACTGGCCTCCACTCAGTGTCCTCCACCCCCCTCTGTCAATCCCTCCACTGGCCTCCACTCAGTGTCCTCCACCCCCCTCTGTCATTCCCTCCACTGGCCTCCATTCAGTGTCCTCCACCCCTCTCTGCCAATCCCTCCACTGGCCTCCATTCAGTGTCCTCCACCCCTCTCTACCAATCCCTCCACTGGCCTCCACTCAGTGTCCTCCACCCCCCTCTGCCAATCCCTCCACTGGCTCCACCCCCCTCTGTCATTCCCTCCACTGGCCTCCACTCAGTGTCCTCCACCCCCCTCTGCCAATCCCTCCACTGGCTCCACCCCCCTCCGTCATTCCCTCCACTAGCCTCCACTCAGTGTCCTCCCACTCCCCTCTGTCATTCCCTCCACTGGCCTCCACTCAGTGTCCTCCACCCCTCTCTGTCAATCCCTCCACTGGCCTCCACTCAGTGTCCTCCACCCCTCTCTGCCAATCCCTCCACTGGCCTCCACTCAGTGTCCTCCACCCCCCTCTGTCATTCCCTCCACTGGCCTCCATTCAGTGTCCTCCACCCCCCTCTGCCAATCCCTCCACTGGCCTCCACTCAGTGTCCTCCACCCCCCTCTGTCATTCCCTCCACTGGCCTCCATTCAGTGTCCTCCACCCCTCTCTGCCAATCCCTCCCCTGGCCTCCATTCAGTGTCCTCCACCCCCCTCTGCCAATCCCTCCACTGGCCTCCACTCAGTGTCCTCCACCCCTCTCTGCCAATCCCTCCACTGGCCTCCACTCAGTGTCCTCCACCCCTCTCTGCCAATCCCTCCACTGGCCTCCACTCAGTGTCCTCCACCCCTCTCTGCCAATCCCTCCACTGGCCTCCACTCAGTGTCCTCCACCCCTCTCTGCCAATCCCTCCACTGGCATCCACTCAGTGTCCTCCATCCCTCTCTGTCAATCCCTCCACTGGCCTCCACTCAGTGTCCTCTACCCCTCCCTGCCAATCCCTCCACTGGCCTCCACTCAGTGTCCTCCACCCCTCTCTGCCAATCCCTCCACTGGCCTCCAGTCAGTGTCCTCCACCCCCTCTGCCAATCCCTCCACTGGCCTCCACTCAGTGTCCTCCACCCCCCTCTGCCAATCCCTCCACTGGCCTCCATTCTGTGTCCTCCACCCCTCTCTGTCATTCCCTCCACTGGCCTCCATTCAGTGTCCTCCACCCCCCTCTGCCAATCCCTCCACTGGCCTCCACTCAGTGTCCTCCACCCCCCTCTGCCAATCCCTCCACTGGCCTCCATTCAGTGTCCTCCACCCCCCTCTGCCAATCCCTCCACTGGCCTCCACTCAGTGTCCTCCACCCCCCTCTGCCAATCCCTCCACTGGCCTCCATTCAGTGTCCTCCACCCCTCTCTGTCATTCCCTCCACTGGCCTCCATTCAGTGTCCTCCACCCCCACTCTGTCATTCCCTCCACTGGCTGCCGATTGCCCAAAAATAAAATTCAAACTACTAACACTGACATACAAAGCCATTCATAACTCCGCCCCAAACTACCTCACCGACCTGATACCCAAATACCACCCAACCCATGCCCTCTGCTCCTCACAAGACCTCCTTCTCTCTAGTTGCCTGGTCTCCTCCTCCCATGCCCATCCCCAGGACTTCTCCAGGCCTTTCCCCATCCTCTGGAACTCACTACCCCAATCCATCAGACTGTCACCTACCCTCCTCACCTTCAGGCACACCCTGAAAACCCATCTCTTCAGGGAAGCCACCCCACCCTCACCTAACAGCCGATTTCCTCCACTCCTCCCACCACTCCATCCCCACCAGCAATCTCCTCCTGTACCACCATCCCCTCCCTCCTAGATTGTAAGCTCCCAGGATCAGGGCCCTCGCCCCCCTCGTGTATTGTATTGTACTGTATTGTCTCATGTTCTCTCCCCACTATAATGTACAGCGCTGAGCAAACCTTCTGCCGCCATATAAATCCTGTATAATAATAATGATACATTCGTGATACATTGTACAGTATGATACATTGTATGACACATGGAGTTGATTTACTAACACTGGAGCCCTCAGAATCTGGAGCATCTTTTCATGGCGGCCAATCAGCTTCTGACTCCAGCTTGTTCTATGAAGCTTTGACTATAAATCCTGGAAGCTGATTGGCTGCTGTGCAGAGATTTTGCACTCTCCAGCTTTAGCCCCATTGTATGACAGGGATGGGGGAGAGAAGAGGACCTGTCATGTCCCGCACATGTCCCGCACATTTCCCGCACATTCCCCGCGCTCTGTATGATCACTGGGTAGGATGTTTCTAGGACTGTCTAGACAATGGGCGGGGGCCGGGGACAAGGTCGGTTCCTGGAGGGGGGGGGGGGGCTCCAGGATCTGTCGCTAGGAAGGAAACGCCGGTCCCAGCAAGCTCTGGGCACTCCAGATAGCGACCTCAGCCTTTGTTAGCACACATTCTTCTGGACGCCAACTCTCCCCCACCCACAACTGTCACGTCCGCAGCCGCAGCTCCAAAACAATCCTGGCGGCGGTGGGATGACGCTGGGCGGGTGGTCAGCTGACCCCGGCCGGCGCAGAGGAACCCATTGGACGCTGCTGAGATTCCCGCCATCCAAAATCATTCTCTCTGCGTTTTGGTAACTCCAAAGTGCGTCCTTCTACTTCTCTGTGACGTCCTCCTGCGCCAGGATTCGTCACCCACCCGGCCCGGGCTGTACCCGCCATCGCCACCCGGCCTGGGGTGCACCCGCCACCACCTACCCTGCCCGGGGTGCACCCGCCATCACCCACCATGCCCGGGGTGTACCCGCCATCACCCACCCGGCCCGGGCTGTACCGGCCATCGCCACCCGGCCTGGGGTGCACCCGCCATCACCCACCCTGCCCGGGGTGCACCCGCCATCACCCACCCTGCCCGGGGTGCACCCGCCATCACCCACCCTGCCCGGGTGCACCCGCCATCACCCACCCGGCCCGGGCTGCACCCGCCATCACCCACCCTGCCCGGGCTGCACCCGCCATCACCCACCCGGCCCGGGCTGTACCCGCCATCACCCACCCGGCCCGGGTGCACCCGCCATCACCCACCCTGCCCGGGCTGCACCCGCCATCACCCACCCGGCCTGGGGTGCACCCGCCATCACCCACCCTGCCCGGGCTGCACCCGCCCATCACCCACCCGGCCCGGGCTGTACCGGCCATCGCCACCCGGCCTGGGGTGCACCCGCCATCACCCACCCTGCCCGGGCTGTACCCGCCATCGCCACCCGGCCTGGGTTGCACCCCGCCATCACCCATCCTGGCCGGGGTGCACCCGCCATCACCCACCATGCCGGGGTGTACCCGCCATTGCCACCCGGCCTGGGGTGCACCCGCCATCACCCACCATGCCCGGGGTGTACCCGCCATCACCCACCCTGCCCGGGGTGCACCCGCCATCACCCACCCGGCCCGGGCTGTACCGGCCATCACCCACCCTGCCTGGGGTGCACCCGCCATCACCCACCCGGCCCGGGCTGTACCCGCCATCTTCCACCCTGCCCGGGGTGCACCCGCCATCACCCACCCGGCCCGGGCTGTAATCGCCATCATCCACCCTGCCCGGGGTGCACCCGCCATCTCCCACCCGGCCCGGGGTGCACCCGCCATCACCCACCCTGCCCGGGCTGTAGCCGCCATCACCCACCCTACCCGGGGTGCACCCGCCATCACCCACCTGGCCCGGGCTGTACCCGCCATCACCCACCTGGCCCGGGGTGCACCTGCCACTCCCCATCCGGCCCGGGCTGTACCCGCCATCACCGACCCGGCCCGGGGTGCACCCGCCATCACCCACCCTGCCCAGGCTGTACCCGCCATCACCCACCCGGCCCGGGCTGTACCTGCCATCACCCACCCGGTCTGGGCTGTACCCGCCATCACCCACCCCGGCCTGGGCTGTACCCGCCATCACCCACCCTGCCCAGGCTGTACCCGCCATCACCCACCCGGCCCGGGCTGTACCCGCCATCACCCACCCGGCCTGGGCTGTACCCGCCATCACCCACCCGGCCCGGGCTGTACCTGCCATAGACACGCCATTCTAGGTGCCCACCCTTCTCCTTCACTACAACCCTCAAGGCTCCGTACATAGACATCGGGGCCCCTAGGGGACCACCAATGGGTGCAAGGCTCTGCGGGCAATTGAAGGAATCCCCCGAGGGGTCCACGATGGACTATCAATCCAGGAGAACGGCAGACATTTATTGAAGGAAATTGTAAGAAGCGCTGAGATTGAAGCCCCCCACAGCCTGCTGGGGGGTCCGGATACGGCTTCATTCCAGGACAGGTCAGGGTGAGACACTGAGACGTCACCAGCATGTTTCGGGGGACCAAGTGCCCCCCCCTTCATCAGGGCGAGAAAGAACATCAGGAGATTCTCATCCCAATCTGACATCAATACAATCTACCGCATACCTCCTTCTACCTCGTACCTCCACCTACCTCATACCTCCTTCTACCTCGTACCTCCACCTACCTCATACCTCCTTCTACCTCGTACCTCCACCTACCTCATACCTCCTTCTACCTCGTACCTCCACCTACCTCATACCTCCTTCTACCTCGTATCTCCACCTACCTCATACCTCCTTCTACCTTCTACCTCCACCTACCTCATACCTCCACCTACCTCATACCTCCACCTACCTCATACCTCCTTCTACCTTCTACCCTCCACCTACCTCATACCTCCACCTACCTCATACCTCCACCTACCTCATACCTCCATCTACCTTTTACCTCCACCTACCTCATACCTCCTTCTACCTCGTACCTCCACCTACCTCATACCTCCTTCTACCTCGTACCTCCACCTACCTCATACCTCCTTCTACCTCGTACCTCCACCTACCTCATACCTCCTTCTACCTCGTATCTCCACCTACCTCATACCTCCTTCTACCTTCTACCTCCACCTACCTCATACCTCTACCTACCTCATACCTCCACCTACCTCATACCTCCATCTACCTTTTACCTCCACCTACCTCATACCTCCATCTACCTCTTTCCTCCATCTAACTCATACCTCCACCTACCTTGTACCTTCACCTACCTTGTACCTTTACCTACCTTGTACCTTCACCTACCTCGTACCTCCACCTACCTTGTACCTCCACATACCTCATACTTCCATCTACCTCATACCTCCATCTACCTCATACCTCCATCTACCTCATTCCTCCATCTAACTCGTACCTCCACCTACCTCATACCTCCTTCTACCTTGTACCTCCACCTACCTCGTACCTCCACATACCTCATACCTCCAGTGTGCTGGGCCTGTGATGAGAACTTAGGGGTAGGGAAGGCAGAGAGGAAGGAGGTTGTACGTTCTTTGTGTTCCTCTATATATTGGCAGGACCTGTGATGCCTCCTGTGTTCTCAGTCCTGGTCTGCAGACTGTGTAGTGTAGACTGCAGACAGGATGAATGTAAACAAAGCAGAGCTTACACTGTCCCAGGCCGGTGATGAGAACTGTGAAAGCTGGAGGGGGGGGGGGGATGGGAGGGGAGGGGTTATAAGTTGCCTACGTTCCTTGTTACCGTACAATTGCTGATGGTAGTCCTCTATTTGATTGCATGCTCTTGGGGTCACAGAATGACATTTGAACACTGTTGTCTTCTTCCAGCTTCCGGCATCACTCAGAAGTCGGTGACTCGAAGGCACATCAGTAAGCGGACCCCACACATGGATACCACCTACCTTTCCACCACGTTCACCCAAGGAGGAGACCAGACGCCCTTCTCTGTGACCAACAAGACCAACGTGTCCGACATCACCGAGAATCCCGTCACTTCCACCACCAATCCGGATCCTGCACTCACACACACCGGGGGAACCGGATCTGTCACCAACGATTCTGGAAATCAAACCTATTCTGCTGGGATGACGCAAGTGTCCGTTACCAGAGCAAAGGATTCTGGGAACACAACACAAGAATTTGTCACCATGACACAGGATTCCGAAAATTCCACTGAGACCTCCGGGATTCATAAAACAGATTCGGAGCTTTCTGCCTCCATCACCTACCCTCTGCAGACCCCTTCTTACTTGATGACCACCTACCCATCCCCCACATCTCACCAGGCCTCAGAATCTTCAGCCCCGTTCACTAGCATTCCTGTTACTGCTCCAAGCACGACCAGCAATGTCCAAGGGACCCATATTTCAGTTAGTGAGTCAACCTTTGTGTATTCTTCTCTGACTTCCCCCAACTCTTCAATGTCCACCTTCCCAGCTTCCTCCAGCCAGTTGCCATCCTCTCCTCCTGAAGATGCAGGAACCGTCTTCAACCAAACGTCACCTGAAGTTTCTTCTTCATCTTCTATTCCTTCCACGTTGGTCTCTACATCTTTCTCCACCTTCTCCACCTTCCCGCCTGAGGCTTCATCAACATTCATCTCCACAGAGTCTTCTCCCCCACAAACCACCCTTCTAACGACTCCCGAACTTCCTTCTTCGTCATCTTTACCTTCTGTGCCGCCATCTTTACACACCACGTCCTCTTCCAATGACATTATAGGAGCAAGCACCTCCTATAGGACTTCTTTACCTCCAGCTAGGACTGACCAAACCCCTGGGGCCTACAACATTTCCACCACTGGCCTTAGAGAGTCCTACACTACAGAAAGTGGTCAGAGGTTCCTTGACGAGACCAGGACGGCATTAAAAGACTTGGTAACGACCATGAGCTCCGTTGTGGAAACTCAAACTTCAGCTACTTCTCTTGAAGGTGGAGGAACTCCAGTCTGGCAACAACACATGTAACTGAACCTTCAGCTCCACCAACTAGTCCCATTCCATTGACTACTTCCAGAAACTGGCTGATCCCGTCACCACGTTTTAGCACACAAGGGCCCCCTCAAGATATTCCAGAGACTACAAAACCAGGAGGTCCAGCATTGACCACTGGTGACCCCAGAAAGCAGGTGACCTCCATCAGAACAACCAGCATGGACATAAAGACCGTAATGCCAAAAGTGGAGACTACTGTCAGTCATAAGGAGAAGGAGCCGGCGCACACCACAGCACAACCCAGTGTAGTCACCATCAAATATTCCACCACCACAGCAACTAGTCCTCCAACTCCAGCCGCACCGCCCAGACCCACCTCACCAGCACCAGGTATGGCATCGAAGGACTCTGACTGCTCTCCATACACTGCAGAACTTCACATAAATGTGTTCCTAACAGTTTTCCCGTTTCCATAGTCAGTGTCTGCTCCCCAAATCCGTGCCACAACGGCGGCAGCTGCATAGAACATGGCGGGCACCGGAAGGACTACAGATGTGAGTGTCCCGTGGCCTGGCAGGGGCAGCACTGTGACAGAGGTAAGTTCCCCACAGCCAACGCTTCATTCTGAGAGGGAATTCAAATGTGGGCCCAACAGCCAGACATAGAAGAAGACCCAATGGTCCATCAAGTCTGGAGGATGGTGATACCGCCTGCACCCCTCAGTACCCTCCAATCGCTGGTCCCTGGGGATGGATGGTGATACCTCCTGCATCGCTCTGCTCACTCCTCGCACCCCTCAGTACCCTCCAATCGTTGGTCCCTTTGGATGGTGATACCTCCTGCATCGCTCTGCTCACTCCCCGCACCCCTCAGTACCCTCCAATCCCTGGTCCCTGGGGATGGACGGTGATACCTCCTGCATCACTCTGCTCACTCCCCGCACCCCTCAGTACCCTCCAATCCCTGGTCAATCGAGTCTGGAGGATGGTGATACGCCCTGCATCGCTCTGCTCACTACCTGCACTCCTCAGTACCCTCCAATCGCTGGTCCCTGGGGATGGATGGTGATACCTCCTGCATCGCTCTGCTCACTCCCCGCACCCCTCAGTACTCTCCAATCCCTGGTCCCTGGGGATGGATGGTGATACCTCCTGCATCACTCTGCTCACTCCCCGCACCCCTCAGTACTCTCCAATCCCTGGTCCCTGGGGATGGACGGTGATACCTCCTGCATCACTCTGCTCACTCCCCGCACCCCTCAGTACCCTCCAATCCCTGGTCAATCGAGTCTGGAGGATGGTGATACGCCCTGCATCGCTCTGCTCACTACCTGCACTCCTCAGTACCCTCCAATCGCTGGTCCCTGGGGATGGATGGTGATACCTCCTGCATCGCTCTGCTCACTCCCTGCACCCCTCAGTACCCTCCAATCCCTGGTCCCTGGGGATGGATGGTGATACCTCCTGCATCACTCTGCTCACTACCTGCACTCCTCAGTACCCTCCAATCTCTGGTCCCTGGGGATGGATGGTGATACCTCCTGCATCGCTCTGCTCACTACCTGCACTCCTCAGTACCCTCCAATCTCTGGTCCCTGGGGATGGATGGTGATACCTCCTGCATCACTCTGCTCACTCCCGCACCCCTCAGTACCCTCCAATCCCTGATCCCTGGGGATGGACGGTGATACCTTGTTAATCGCTCTGCTCTCCCTCACTCCCCGCACCCCTCAGTACTCTCCAATCCCCGGTCCCTGGGGTACCTCCATATTAATGTCCATAGTTCTGGAATGGGATGTCCATCCAGCTGGCATTATAATTTGGGGTTCACTAACTTTTGGCCACAATGACACCAGAAAGTGCAGCCCCCCCAATGCCTCCCCCGATACCTCCCCCCCCTGATGCCCCCCCTTGATGCCCCCCCCCCCTTGATGCCTCCCCCTCCTAATATACAGGATATCATTGTCTTGTGATCTGATCTCGCTGTCTGTGGACGATTGTATGTCACCTCCTTCTCCTTTCTGCCCAGATGTGGACGAATGTCTCTCCAGGCCGTGTCCTGCCCCGGCCACGTGTGTGAACCTTCGGGGGTCCTTCGCCTGCCGCTGCCCCCTGGGGTACATCCTGGAGAACGGCACCGGCTGCGTCCAGGGTGAGACATCGGGAAAAGGGATTGATCGTTCTGTATGTTCCCAGATGGGGGCGGAGTCTCACTTCTCTGTAACCACAATGAATATTTCTGATTGGAGGCCAGCAGCTCCTCCCTCCCATTCTTCTTTTATTTGCCCAGACAGACCGAACGGCGTTCTCATCGATCGTTTTGTCTTTGCAGTGAGGACGTTCCTCGGCCACATCGAAATCCCGAGAAGTTTGCTGAACGGCTCCAACGGGAAATACACCAAATTACAGCAAATCGAAGATGAGATCGTTCATATCGTGAGTAGAGCGAATGTCCGGACAGACCATTCCATGTCAGAGAGGGGAGCTGCTAGAGTTCTGTTCAGCCAGTTCTCAGATTTACACACACCTGCCGGACAGTACAGCCAGACTGGTGACCTGACTTCTTCCACTGCAGATAATCGGTTCACTGGGGCTCTCCGGGTGCCCACGGTATGTCCCTGCAGACATAGATAGGAGGGCCCCAGACATAGAACTTCAAAGGGCCCCAAACAGAAGAAGCTCCAGAGGGCCCCACACACAGACCTCCAGAGGGTCCCACACACTGAACCCCAGAGGGCCCCACACTCAGAATCGCAGAGGGCCCCACACACAGAACCCCAGTGGGCCTCATACACAGAACCTCAGAGGGCCCCACACACTGAACCCCAGAGGGCCCCACACTCAGAACCGCAGAGGGTCCCACACACAGACCTCCAGAGGGTCCCACACACTGAACCCCAGAGGGCCCCACACTCAGAACCGCAGAGGGCCCCACACACAGAACCCCAGTGGGCCCCACACACAGAACCTCAGAGGGCCACTCACTCAGAACCGCAGAGGGCCCCACACTCAGAACTGCAGAGGGCCCCACACACAGAACCACAGAGCACCCTACACACAGAACCCTAGAGGGCCCCACACACAGACCTCCAGAGGGCTCCACACACAGAACCCCGGAGGGCCCCACACACAGAACCTCAGAGCACCCTACACACAGAAGCCTAGAGGGCCCCACACACAGACCTCCAGAGGGCCCCACACACTGAACACCAGAGGGCCCCACATACACAACCCTAGAGGCCCCGCACACAGAACCCCAGAGGGCCCCGCACACAGAACCCCAGAGGGCCCCACACAAAGAACTCCAGGGGGCCTCACACAAAGAACTCCAGAGGGTCCCACACTCTGGACTCCAGAGGGCCCCTCCCACAGAACCCCAGAGGGCCCCACACACAGAACCCTAGAGGGCCCCACACAAAGAGCTCCAGAGGGCCTCACACACAGGATTCCAGAGGGTCCCACACACAGGACTCCAGAGGGCCCCCACACACAGAACTCTGGTGGGTCCCACACTCTGGACTCAGAGAGGGCCCCACACACATTACTTCAGAGGGCCCCACACACAGGACTCCAGAGGGCCTCACACTGGACTCCAGAGAGCCCCACACACAGAAATCCTGAGGGTCCCACACACAGAAATCCTGAGGGCCACACACACACACACACTATTTTTTTCAGAAAATGATGAACAACATTTTTTTTTTTTTTCTGCCGACTAACCTGCGGTCATCTGAGCCCGTTCTACAAACCTCCGGCTGAGATCAATTTCTAACACATGAACTTTAAACTTCTAACCCATGGACTTCCTAAGGGCCCCACTGGAGAGACCATGGACTCCTGGAGGACAACACTGGAAATACTGTGCACACTTGGAGGGCACCAATGGTGGTGCTGAGGTCATCTGCAGGGCCCAATTAGAGGCACTATGGATACCTAGAGGGCTCCACTGCAGACGCCATGGACATCTGGAGGGCCCTACTGGAGATACCATGGACACCCAATGGCCCCACTGAACCACTGTGGACACCCGGAAGGCCCCACTGGATATACCATGGACACCCAAGGGCCCAAATGGAAACACCGTGGACACCTGGAGGACCCCACTGGAGATACCATGGACACCCTAGGACCCAAATGGAAACACAGTGGACACCTAGAGGGCTCCACTGGAGATACCATGGACACCCTAGGACCCAAATGGAAGCACTGTCGACATCTGGAGGGCCCTACTAGAGATACCATGGATACCAAAGGGCCCAAATGGAAACACTGTGGACACCTGGAGGGCTCCTCTGGAGATACCATGGACACCCTAGGACCCAAATGGAAGCACTGTCGACATCTGGAGGGCCCTACTAGAGATACCATGGATACCAAAGGGCCCAAATGGAAACACTGTGGACACCTGGAGGGCCCCACTGGAGATACCATGGACACCCAATGGCCCCACTGGAACCACTGTGGACACCCGGAAGGCCCCACTGGATATACCATGGACACCCAAGGGCCCAAATGGAAACACCGTGGACACCTGGAGGACCCCACTGGAGATACCATGGACACCCTAGGACCCAAATGGAAACACAGTGGACACCTAGAGGGCTCCACTGGAGATACCATGGACACCCTAGGACCCAAATGGAAGCACTGTCGACATCTGGAGGGCCCTACTAGAGATACCATGGATACCAAAGGGCCCAAATGGAAACACTGTGGACACCTGGAGGGCCCCACTGGAGATACCGTGGACACCCAAAGGGCCCAAATGGAAACACTGTGGACACCTGGAGGGCCCTACTGGAGATACCTTGGACACCCAGGGAACCAAATGGAAAAACTGTGGACTACTAGAGGGCCCCACTGGAGATACCATGGACATCCAAAGGCCCAACTGGAAACACTGTAGACACCTGGAGGGCCCTACTGGAGATACCATGGACACCCAAAGGCCCAAATGGAAAAACTGTGGACATCTAGAGGGCCCCACTGGGGATAACATGGACATCAAATGGCCCAAATGGAAACACTGTGGACACCTGGAGGGCCCCACTGGAGATACCGTGGACACCCAAAGGCCCAAATGGAAAAACTGTGGACATCTAGAGGGCCCCACTGGAGATACCATGGACATCAAAGGGCCCAAATGGAAAAATGTGGACACCTGGAGGGCCCCACTGGAGATACCATGGACAACAAAGGGCCCAAATGGAAACACTGTGGACACCTGAAGGTCCCCACTGGACATACAATGGATACCCAAGGACCCAAATGGAAACACTGTGGACTACTAGGGGGCCCCACTGGAGATACCTTGGACACCCAAGGGCCCAAATGGAAACACTGTGGACACCTGGAGGGCCCCACTGGAGATACCATGGACACCCAAGGGCCCAAATAGAAACACTGTAGACACCTGGAGGGGCCTACTAAAGATACCATGGATACCCAAGGGCCCAAATGGAAACACTGTGGACACCTGGAGGGCCCCACTGGAGATACCATGGAGACCCAAGGACCCAAATGGAAACACTGTGGACATCTAGAGGGCCTCACTGGAGATACCATGGACACTCAAGGACCCAAATGATACATTGTGGACACCTGGAGGGCCTCACTGGAGAAACCATGGACACCCAAGAGCCCAAATAGAAACACTGTAGACACCTGGAGGGCCTCACTGGAGAAACCATGGACAACCAAGGGCCCAAATGGAAAAACTGCGGATAACTAGAGGGCCCCACTGGAGATACCATGGACACCCAAGGACCCAAATGGAAACACCGTGGACATCTAGAGGGCCTCACTGGAGATACCACAGACTCCTGAATGGCCCCACTGCAGACCCCATGGGCACCTGGTGGAAACTACTGGAGACACCATGGACACCTGGATGGCCTATGTGGACCCCATGGTCAGTGGAAGATCCCTCACCAGAACCAGCAGCATTCTATATTATATTTCAGCCCACATATTAGTTTTCTTCTTCGGCCGCACATAGACCCCGCCCCTTCTGATTAATGAGACATAGACCCCCCCCCCCTTCTGATTAATCAGACATAGACCCCGCCACTTCTGATTAATCAGACATAAACTCTCCTGGTTGTCTCCTGCAGCTGAGCTGATTACATTCCTCCTGCTTGTTGGTGGGCAGGCGGCTCAGGCACAGAGGGGAACTAGAAATGAATTGATAATCGTCAATATACCTCAAGCACAAGAAATATGTTAGTACCGATCGGTCACGTTACGACTTTTCGAGTCTTCGAACAGCCAATGCAGAGAGATGATGGTGGACAGCTGCAAGTCTACAGATAACAATACACATAGATCCATTCTGTACAATTCACAATCGATCGTTTTATTGATCAGCAGATATTACACATAGATCCATTCTGTGCAATTCACAATTGATCGTTTTATTGATCAGCAGATATTACATATAGATCCATTCTGTGCAATTCACAATCGATCGTTTTATTGATCAGCAGATATTACATATAGATCCATTCTGTGCAATTCACAATCGATCGTTTTATTGATCAGCAGTTATTACATATAGATCCATTCTGTGCAATTCACAATCGATCGTTTTATTGATCAGCAGTTGTTACACATAGATCCATTCTGTGCAATTCACAATCGATCGTTTTATTGATCAGCAGATATTACACATAGATCCATTCTGTGCAATTCACAATCGATCGTTTTATTGATCAGCAGTTATTACACATAGATCCATTCTGTGCAATTCACAATCGATCGTTTTATTGATCAGCAGATATTACACATAGATCCATTCTGTGCAATTCACAATCGATCGTTTTATTGATCAGCAGATATTACACATAGATCCATTCTGTGCAATTCACAATCGATCGTTTTATTGATCAGCAGTTATTACACATAGATCCATTCTGTGCAATTCACAATCGATCGTTTTATTGATCAGCAGTTATTACACATAGATCCATTCTGTGCAATTCACAATCGATCGTTTTATTGATCAGCAGTTATTACGCATAGCATTGTTATTAAACAAGAGGATAAAAGTCGGGGTTCCCCTTCATGGTAGAGCCCCACATGTAGTGTCACACGCTGACAGGTTGCAGTTTTGGGCGGAGTTCTGATACTAACCTCATCGATCTCTCTTTCTTCCTGTAGCTGAATTCCTCCTTCTCTGTGATTGGTGGATATTACCAATCGGCCGTCACTAACAGCAGGTGAGATGCGCAGTTGTAGCTCTGCCATGTGTGGGAGGAGTCTGAGCGGTTCTGACCCGAGTCTGTCGCTGTTCAGTTTCAGCAATCGCATCGAACTCTCCGTCCAGAATATCTTCCTCCTGTCCTCCAACGTCACCCTGTATGACCTGAGACACAACATCCAGCGCTACAAAAAGGGGTGCCAGTCCGCCCCCGAGCACTCGCCCACGTGCCAGCTCATACTCCACCCTGAACTCTATTACATAGGTAATTGTATACACAAATATACCGCCTCCACCCCAAACTGAGGTATGTAGATGACTCCACAATGCTGTACAGAGGAGCTTACACTCTAATGTCCCCTCCCCCCACAGTCCCATCAGTCTCTGTACTGAGGAGCTGACACTCTAATGTCCGCACTGATCTCTCTCTGTTCTCAGCTGTCAGTCTGTGTAATATGAAGAATCCGGGATGTGATAACGAGACGTCGGAGTGCGCTGACCCAGCCGGCATCACCCAGTGCCAGTGTAAGGCCGGATTCTTCAAATACAGCACAACGGACCGATCCTGCCGGGGGGTAAGATGAGCGACACACAACCAATGAGGCCTGGAGCTGGGAGGGGCTAATATGCAAATGAGCTGATCTACATAAACATCGATCAGACGGGAGATAGAGATACAAAGTAACATTTATTTATAAACATCGATCAGACGGGAGATAGAGAGATACAAAGTAACATTGTTTATAAACATCGATCAGACGGGAGATGGAGAGATACAAAGTGACATTGTTTATAAACATCGATCAGACGGGAGATAGAGAGATACAAAGTAACATTGTTTATAAACATCGATCAGACGGGAGAGAGAGATACAAAGTAACATTGTTTATAAATATCGATCAGACGGGAGATAGAGAGATACAAAGTAACATTGTTTATAAATATCGATCAGACGGGAGATAGAGAGATACAAAGTAACATTGTTTTTATAAATATCGATCAGACAGGAGATAGATACAAAGTAACATTGTTTTTAAACATTGATCGGATGGGAGATAGAGAGATTCAAAGTAACATTGTTTATAAACATCGCTCAGACGGGAGATAGAGAGATACAAAGTAACATTGTTTATAAACATCGATCAGACGGGAGATAGAGAGATACAAAGTAACATTGTTTATAAATATCGATCAGACAGGAGATAGATACAAAGTAACATTGTTTATAAACATTGATCGGATGGGAGATAGAGAGATGCAAAGTAACATTGTTTATAAACATCGCTCAGACGGGAGATAGAGAGATACAAAGTAACATTGTTTATAAACATCGATCAGACGGGAGATAGAGATACAAATTAACATTATTTATAAACATCGATCAGACGGGAGATAGAGATACAAAGTAACATTGTTTATAAACATCGATCAGACGGGAGATAGAGATACAAAGTAACATTGTTTATAAACATCGATCAGACGGGGGATGGAGAGATACAAAGTAACATTGTTTATAAACATCGATCAGACGGGAGATAGAGATACAAAGTAACATTGTTTATAAACATCGATCAGACGGGAGATGGAGAGATACAAAGTAACATTGTTTATAAACATCGATCAGACGGGAGATAGAGAGATACAAAGTAACATTGTTTATAAACATCGATCAGACGGGAGATAGAGAGATACAAAGTAACATTGTTTATAAACATCGATCAGACAGGAGATAGAGAGATACAAAGTAACATTGTTTATAAACATCGATCAGACGGGAGATGGAGAGATACAAAGTAACATTGTTTATAAACATGGATCAGACGGGAGATGGAGAGATACAAAGTAACATTGTTTATAAACATGGATCAGACGGGAGATAGAGAGATACAAAGTAACATTGTTTATAAACATGGATCAGACGGGAGATAGAGAGATACAAAGTAACATTGTTTATAAACATCGATCAGACGGGAGATAGAGAGATACAAAGTAACATTGTTTATAAACATCGATCAGACAGGAGATAGAGAGATACAAAGTAACATTGTTTATAAACATCGCTCAGACGGGAGATAGAGATACAAAGTAACAAAGTGGACTTTGTGCTAGGAAAGGGAAATGGGGGGGGGGGGGGGGGTATTTGTGTTAGGAGGGGGGAAGTGGGGGGATTTGTGCTAGGAGGGGGGATTGGGGGGGAGTTTATACTAGGAGAGGGAGGGGGGAGATTTGTGCTAGGAGGGAGATAGGGGGGAAATTGTGCTAGGAGGGGGGATTTTGGTGGGGAGGAATGTTTTGTGCTGGGAGTGGTAGATTGGATGGGGTTGTGCTAGTAGGAGGGATTTAGGGAGATTTGGGGGAGGAGATTAGTGCTGGGGGGGGGGGGATTTGAGGAGAAAGAGGATGTGTGCACGGAGGGGTGAAGTAGAACTATAGATTAAGTTTTATTTAATTTTTTTGGTGGTGGTGGTGGTGGGGGGGGGGGGGGGGGCAAGTAGCTGGTCTTGCCTAGGGTGCAAAATAGTCTAGCAGTGGCCCAGTCTATGGGGGGGTACGGGGGGTACGGGGGGGAGGGGGAGAGAGGGGAGAGGGGGGGAGTCATTAATGGAGATATTCTGAGTCATCTCAGTCTTAGGATTTCAGTTTTGGGTGTGGGGTCTCCCTATAACTCCCCCATATTCAGGTGGTGTTGTTGGAGTTGCTGGCTCCGCCCTTCCCTCTCACTTAGTGTCATTCTGAGCAGGGAAGTCCCACCCTGCAGAACTGTCCAATTAATCCTCCCCCGCCTACTGAGCCCCTTGAGGGAGGAGCCTGGTTATGGGTGTGGCGAAGGGAATGGCAGTGGCCCTGATGGAGATGCAGAGACAGGAGCTCCACCTATCAGTCCCGGCATCCCACAGAGTCTTCCTCCACATCCACCTCAATCTGAACTGTCACTTTCTGCCCGGAGCCGGCCTCCTCCATGCAGTAACACTTACACTGTCGTTTCCTCCGCAGCCTGTGACGACGGGTACAAACTTCAGGATGGAGCCTGTGTGAGGTGAGGAGGGGCGGAGCTCCGTATTCTGGGGGAGGGGGTTTTCAGGGTGAATATTGGGGATCCATATTTTCATTATCGTATTTCATGGAGGGCGGAGACAGTGCTCCCTCTAGTGGTCAGCGGTATATATGAAGGGGGGCGGGGTTGCTGAGATAAGCCCAGTTAGCCTGGTAGATTGTCAGATTCATGGGGGGGGGGGCAGTAAAGGCCATTCACTGTGCAGCACTCAGCAGGACACAGAGCCCGTGTGGGAGGGGCTTGTATGACGGCCCCACCTACTACATATAGAATTCTATACACAGACATGACTGGACTGAAGACTGTAGGGCAGCGGAAATGTGGGAGGAGCTAGGTGTGAGGTGACTGCGTAGTGATGGGAGGACGGGGATGATGGATCAGCAATGGTGTCTCCTGTATATCTATCCACATTATCTATTAAAGGTGGAAGAGAGCCGTGTGTGACCCGGAGCAGCCAATCAGATTTCATCTTTCAAGTGGAACTTCAGCCAAAACGTTTTTTTCTCGATGTTTGATGGAGGGGTGGAGCCTCTGTTGGTGACCCCTGTTGGGGAACTTTTCCCTCACTTCCTGTCTCGGGGGCTCCTGAGGGACTGTTGAGGACTGATGACCCGTCAGAGCGGTTGTTTTGCCGCCTGTGTCCCCAGCGCTTCCTCCCAGCTCCTTCCATGTATTGGCCGGAGTCTCATCCTGCGATTTTCATTGCGACTTTACAGTGCGACGTGATGTGACTTTGGACGAGTGGGACTTTACAGTGCGACTTGATGCGACTTTGGATGAGTGGGACTTTACAGTGCGACTTGATGCGACTTTGGATGAGTGGGACTTTACAGTGCGACTTGATGCGACTTTGGATGAGTGGGACTTTACAGTGCGACTTGATGCGACTTCGGATGAGTGGGACTTTACAGTGCGACTTGATGCGACTTTGGATGAGCGGGACTTTACAGTGCGACTTGGTGCGTCTTGGGATGAGTGGGACTTTACAGTGCGACTTGGTGCGTCTTGGGATGAGTGGGACTTTACAGTGCGATGTGATGCAGCTTTGGATGAGTGGGACTTTACAGTGCGACTTGGTGCGTCTTGGGATGAGTGGGACTTTACAGTGCGATGTGATGCAGCTTTGGATGAGTGGGACTTTGGCTTTGCCCGAGGACGATCGTTTCTGCTGCACAAAGTCGCACACAAGTCACATGTACAACATTCAGGTGCGACTTTCATGCGACTTTGAGGGGTTTACATTGAAGTCTATGCCCTCAAGTCCCATGAAAGTTGCACCGGAGAAGTGCAGGAACTACGTTGAAGTCGCAGATATGAGTGGTACCCGTTGGGAGACATGGGGGGGGGGACCCCAAAGTCGCATAGATGTGAATGGGCTCTGGGTGTGGAATTGTCTGCGGATTGGAGAACATTTGATGATTCCTCTTCTCTCTTAGATGTCCCTTTGGATTCGGAGGATTCAACTGCTCCAACCGTAAGTTCAGCGCTGCGCGTTCAGTTACAGGTGGAGGAAAGGCTCCGCCCATTGTTTGGTGTATATATGTAGCCCCTCCCCCTTCTATTGGACCCAAATTCCCCTTCACTGTCAGCCGGCCCCCTTTCTGCTCTCATGTATAAAGCTGTATACAGCGTGTATATATACAGTGTGAACTGCCACTGAGGGATGGTAACAGAAGGGGGATGGAGAACAGATAACTGGGAGGGGTACCCCCAAAATGTCCCTCCCCCCGGGACACAGATTGCTGGGACGTCGGGGTGATGTTCCTGGACGGGGATAATCCAAATACTGCCGGGGTCAGTAGGGGGGCCCCATGAGATGACCCTGGTACCTTTTTCATAGGCTTTTTTGAGTTTGGGCAAAGAAGACACAGGGGCCCCATGATCCCCTATTGCCCGGGGGCCCCATGATCCCCTATTGCCCGGGGGCCCCATGATCCCCTATTGCCCGGGGGCCCCATGATCCCTATTGCCCGGGGGCCCCATGATCCCCTATTGCCCGGGGGCCCCATGATCCCCTATTGCCCGGGGGCCCCATGAGTTGTCAGATTGTATCAAAAGATAAAGCTGCGTTATCTCCGTCTGAGGACTAAACACAGAAACCAGAAATGTGTTTGTGTAATGGATTCATAGAACGGATCGCACAGCGATTCTCTCTCATGCAGAATCATGTGTGGGGGGGGATCGGATCTGTGAATAGTCTGCAGTGTATGGGGGGGAGGGGGGGCAGATCGGTTTCTGTGAATAGTCTTGCAGTGTGTGTGGGGGGGGACCTGAGGGGGGGAGAGATCGGTCTGAGTGATATAGTCTGCAGTGTAATGGGGGGGGAGGGGGGGGAGATTGGTCTCTGTGAATAGTCTGCAGTGTGTTGGGGGGGGAGGGGGGGAGATCGGTCTGTGAATAGTCAGCAGTGTTGTAGGGGGGGGAGATCGGTCTCCCTGAATATCTGCAGTGTATGGGGGGTGCGGCGGGCTCACCTCTGTTCTCATCCATTCTTTGCACCACTAGGAAGCGGCTGAGACTGATTCCTGAGGGCTCCCCCGCCCATTATAGTGGACAGTAATAGCGGGAGATGGGAGTGCAGGAGGCTGGAGGAGGGTTTTTAATGCAGCAGCTTAGACCTGCTGGCACTTGTAGTTCCATATTAGCTGTATGTGCTGCTATCTGGGATTGCTGGGACTGATCTTTACTGTGGTTCTGTATCATGCAATGTGCACATTGGGTTGGGATGGAATTTGTGGTGCTGCCGTGACACAGTTAGTTGTTGATGGCGCTGATAGCGCCCCCTGGATTTAGTCAATTTGGTGAATTGTTGTTTAAGTGACCCAGACTTGTCATATCTGCCCCCCCCATCATTATCCCCCCCCCTCACCCATCATTAACCCACCCTTTCCCACATGGGGTGTTTTATCCCCTCCCCTCTCCCCATACAATAGACCCCACCCATCGTTATCCACTCCACTCCCCGTCATATATCCCTACCCCATCATTATCCCCCCCTCCCCGTCATTATCCCCCCTCCCCATGGTTTCCAGTTTTTTCCGCCCCTCCCTGTCAAGTATCTCCCCCCTCCCCATCATTATCTGCCCTCCCCCCATAATTATGGCCCCCTCCCTGTCTTATCTATTATCCCCCCCCTATTATTACCACCCCCCACTCCCCATTAGAAGCCCCGCCCAGCACTATCCGCCCATCCCCATCAATTATCCCCCCCCCCCCTATCCATTATCCCCCCCTCCCCATCATTACGCCCCCCCCCCCCCATCATTATCCCCCTCATTATAAATTATCCCCCCCTTCCCTGAGTCCATTATCCCCCCCCATCATACATCCCCCTGCTTGTCATTATTCCCCCAGCCACATCATTAGTCCCCCCCCCCCTCATCGATTATCCCCTCGATGTCCCTTCCATTATCCCCCCTCCCCCTAATCATTAACCTCCCCCCTCACTCCCTGTCATTATCCCTCCCCCCCTCCCAATTATCTTCCGAACCCACCCCTCCCCATCATTACCAATCCCCCCCTCATCATTACCCGCCCCCCTCCCCATACATATGTCCCCCCATAATTGATCCCCCCCATCATTATTCTCCCACCCTCCCCATCATTACTTCCACCCCATCATTATCCCCCCCCTCCTCGCCATTTCCTTTTAATTGTTCACTTCCTTCCCCCCCCTCCATCCATGTCCCCCCCATCATACAAACACCCCCCCCCCACCCCATCATTAATCCAAACCCCCCCCCAGGTCCTGCTCTGACACATCCTAGGTCATCACAACGCCTTCAGGACTCGGAGGGAAGGGGAGAATCAGAGTTGGAGTTGCTGTCAGTCGGTTTAGTTACACCTTTCATTGTGCGGGTGAAATAGAAACCTGATTAGAGAGCGTCGCGATGTAGCCAGTCCTGCCAGTGGCAGCCAATTCTTTTCCTCTTTTTCGGCACCTGTACAAGTAGACGGTCCCCGAGAGCGGAGGGTGAGATACAGAGCGCAGGCAGAGTGCGGAGCCATCAGAGCGGACCCCCTCGCGTGTCTGTGATCAGATGGGACCCCCCACACATTGGGGACCCCAGAACCGTCTACTGCGGGCGGTCCCCGAATACAGATCTGAAGTCTGCAGATCGCAGCATTTATGGCAGCTCAGCATTCAGAGTTCATTGGAATGAAGAAATTCTGTGGTGGAGTTCAGTTTTCTGTAACTTCTCCAGCCTGACCTCATGCAGGATCTGCAGCAACAGCGACACCCCATGGACACATTGAGTAATGCAGGACAATTGGTTAAAGCCGTGTTAAAGAGCAACTCCGGCCAAACAACTGTGCACACAGGAAGGGCATAAGGCCCATGTAGAGCCGGGGCAGGCAAACCTCGGCCCTCCGGCTGTTGTGGAACCAGAAGTCCCAGGAGGCATGAAGACTATGACAGCCACAAGCATGGCTTCCAGAGTTCAGAGGCATGTTGGACCCGTACGTACTTCCACAACAACTGGAGGTCTGAAGGTTGCCTACTCATGACACAGGGGCCCTGGTACTAGCTCAGTGTCACGTTTGGGGCCCCCATATTTGGTGTTTGCAGATATTTATATATCGCTGACAATTTACATACCAGTCCCTGCCCTCAGGAGCTTACAATCTAAGATCCCTACCTTACATACCGGAGCAGGGCGTGGACTGACAACTCATGGGGCCCCCGGGCAATAGGGGATCATGGGGCCCCTGTGCCCTTGCCCAAACTCAAAAAGGCCTATGAAAAAGGTACCAGGGGCATCTCCTGGGGCCCCCTACTGACCCCGGGCTCTCGGGCAGTACCCGAGTTTCCAAATAGTCAGTCCGCACCTGTACCGGGGCCACTTTAGACAGGAGCCGATTAACCTGCCAGCATGTCTTTGGCGTGTGGGAGGAAACCAGAGTACCTGGAGGAAACCCACGCAGGCACAGGGAGAACATGCAAACTCCATGCAGATGGTGTCCTGACTGGGATTCAGACCAAGGACCCCAGTGCTACAAGAGCTAGCCACCAATCCGCCGTGCTGCCCATGACCGCAGAACATAAGGGGGGCAAGAAGTATAGGGAGGCCGTGATCCGGAGGTCCCGTGTCCTGTAGAAAATATTAAATCCACAAAACACGAATCTGTTAAATTTCTTTTAATTTGCAAAAATAAGTGCCATAAAATGCCTCCAGCACCAATATTACCGACAAAATATATATTAACCAAATAAAAATGAACTGTATTAACCAGAGAAAAAAAAAAAAAATGAGACAGAGTCCAAGAGGAACACTGGAAGGGTGGCAGCTCAGCTGCTACACTGGCCCCAGACACCCGGCATCTTCCTCTGTCTAACTGGTCATGTGTGTGGACAGGCTGTAAAGATCCCGTCATTCCCTCGTCATTCCCCGTGTATGAGGGGGGGAGGGGACTCTGCAGAGGAATGAAGAATTCATACAAGAGGTCTATAGGCCACACAGAGAGAGAGAGTGCCGGCCTGTGCTGCACCCAGGGGCCCCTAGGTGGCAGTGTGTGTGCCCCAGGTGGCTGCCTAGTCTGCCTAGCACCGGCCCTGGGACCAGAAAAGAATCCCCCCCCCCCCCCTCTTTAAAAAAAATCCCATTTTGTTGCTTTGCAACCTGAAATGAAGACAGACACAGTTTTTTTTTTACTTATAGCATCCAAGTGAAAGATAGAACACCGACGTGTCAGAAAAACAATTAAAATGTTGGAGAAAGGACCCCCCCCCCCCCCTTGGTTGGGGTCAGTATTTTGTTGGACCCCCATTTGCTGTAATTCCAGCCTTCAGTCTGTCGGGATTTGTCTCTATAACTTCATCCATCCAGACTGCGATATTCACTGCTCTGCTGACATTGGATGGGGGCGGTGTGTGGGGGCGGCGGCTTCAAATCATTCCACAGACTTTCAAAGGGCTTGAAGTCGGGGCTCTGACTAGGCCATGCCAGGCCACGCCCCTTCTTATCCTCCAACCACTGGGGGGTGCTGTGTCCATTTTTCCTGATTTCTATCCTGACAAGTGCTCCAGTCCCTGCTACCCCCCCATAGAGAAGCCCCCCATAATAGATATACCCCCCCATAACATGACATTTACCACCCCCCATAACAGGACATTACCACCCCCATAACAGGACATTACCACCCCCCATAACATGACATTACCAGCCCCCCATAACAGGATAACCCCCCCATAACAGGACATTACCCCCCCCCATAACATGATATTACCCCCCATAATAACAGGATATTACCCCACCCCCCCCCACAGGATATTGCCCCCCCATAACAGGACATTACCAAGCCCCCCCATAACAAGATATTAACCCCCCATAACAGGAGATATTACCCCCCCATAACAGGACATTACAGCCCCCCATATAACAGGATATTACCCCCCCCATACCCCCCCCATAACAGGATTACCCCCCCCCATAACAGATATTACCCCCATAACATTACCCCCCATAACAGGATATTTGCCCCCCCATAACAGGATATTACCACCCCCCCCTCCATTACCAGCCCCCCATAAGGATATTATACCAAAAGGATATTACCCCCATAACAGGATATTACCCCCAATACAGGATATTACCCCCAATAACAGGATATTGCCCCCCCATATACAGGACATTACCAGCCCCCCATAACAGGATATTACCCCCCATAACAGGATATTACCCCCCCATAACATAACAGGACATTACCCCCCCCCATAACATGACATTACAAGCCCCCCATAACAGGATACCTCCCCCCCATAACAGGATATTACCCCCCCATAACAGGACATTACCACCCCCCATAACATGACATTACCAGCCCCCCATAACAGGATATTACCCCCCCAATATTAACAGATATTACCCCCCCCCATATACATTACCCCCCCCATTACCAGGATATTAACCCCCATAACAGGATATTACCACCCCCATAATATTACCCCCCATAACAGGATATATTATTACCCCCCATAACAGGATATTAGCCCCCCATAACCCCCCATAACAACAGGATATTACCCCCATAACAGGATATTACCCCCCCATAACAGGATATTACCATATTTATAACCCCCCATAACAGGATATTACCCCCCAAAACAGGATATTACCCCCCCATAACAGGATATTACCACCCCCCCATAACAGGATATTACCCCCCATAACAGGATATTACCCCCCATAACAGGATATTATTATACCCCCCATAACAGGATATTATCCCCCCATAACAGGATATTACCCTCCATAACAGGATATTACCCCCCCATAACAGGACATTACCACCCCCCCATAATATGACATTACCAGCCATAACAGGATATTATTACCCCCCCCCCCCCAATAACAGGATATTACCCCCATAACAGGATATTACTCTCCCATAACAGGATTATTATCCCCATAACAGGATATTACTCTCCCATAACAGGATATTACCACCCCCCCAAAACACCCAAAACAGGATATTACCCCCCATAACAGGATATTATCCCCCCATAACAGGATATTACCCTCCATAACAGGATATTACCCCCCCATAACAGGACATTACCACCCCCCCATAATATGACATTACCAGCCCCCCATAACAGGATATTACCCCCCCCCCCCCCCCAATAACAGGATATTACCCCCATAACAGGATATTACCCCTCATAACAGGATATTATCCCCCCATAACAAGATATTACCCCCATAACAGGATATTACCCCCATAACAGGATATTACCACCCCCCCATAACAGGATATTACCCCCCATAACAGGATATTATCCCCCCATAACAGGATATTACTCTCCCATAACAGGATATTACCACCCACCCAAAACAGGATATTACCCCCCATAACAGGATATTACCCTCCATAACAGGATATTATCCCCCCATAACAGGACATTACCCCCCCATAACAGGACATTACCACCCCCCATAATATGACATTACCAGCCCCCCATAACAGGATATTACCCCCCCCCCAATAACAGGATATTACCCTCCCATACCAGGATATTACCCCCATAACAGGATATTACCCCCCTCATAACAGGATATTATCCCCCCATAACAGGATATTACCCCCCATAACAGGATATTACCACCCCCCCATAACAGGATATTACCACCCCCCCATAACAGGATATTATCCCCCCATAACAGGATACCCCCCATAACAGGATATTATCCCCCCATAACAGGACATTACCACCTCCCTAAAACAGGATACCCCCCCCATAACAGAATATTACCCTCCCATAACAGGACATTACTACCCCCCCAAAACAGGATATTACCCCCTCATAACAGAATATTACCACCATAACAGAATCTTACCCCCATAACAGGATACCCCCCCATAACAGGATATTACCCCCCCATAACAGGATATTACCCCCCCATAACAGGATATTGTCCCCCATAACAGGATATTACCCCCTCTCCATAACAGAATATTACCACCCCCCCATAACAGTATATAACCACGCCAATAACAAGATATTACCCCCATAACAGGATATCACCCCCCCCAATAACAGGATATTACCCCCCATACCAGGATATTACCCCCCCAACAGGATATTACCCCCCCCAATAACAGGATATTCCCCTCTCCGTGCTGCACCATAGGAATGGTGGTCTTTGGATTGGACATTTGGTTTAATGTTGAGGCCAAATTCTTCCATTTTTGTCTCCTCTGACCGGAACCCGTCTCCATGTGACCTCAGAACCTTCAAGATGCGTTTCGGCAAAGCTCAGTGGTGGCGGCATGCGGCCTTTCTTGAGGAGCGGCTTTTTTCTTGCACCCCTCCCCCCACACAAGGTGGAGGATTGGTGATCTTGGTGTCACACGCACACAATGACCGATCTTTGTCATCCATTCCTGACTCGGCTTCAGAGTCGCTGGAGGCCTCTTGGTTGCCTCTCTGACCCGTCTCCTCCTGGCCCTTCCATCCAGTTTGGAGTGACGTCCCGATCCAGGGAGGGTCTGTGTTCCAGCAAATACCTTCCACTTCTTCATCATAGACGTCACCCCGCTTCTAGGCATTGATAAAGTTTTGTATCCATCTCCTGACTTGTGCCTCTCCACAACTTTATCCCGGAGACCCCGGTGACAGCGCCTGGCCACCCATAGTGGATTGTTGGCTTCAGTTGCACTACTAGGGACTGAAATGCTCCAGGAAAGCTCTTTTCATGCAGAGCCAATCACAATGTCCACACAGGGGAAAGTTACATGGCTCTGTGTGCCATTGAGAAGGTGATTGGCTACACCTAACAAGTCATTTTTAGGAGTGGGGAGGGGGGGAGGGGTCCTTCTTCCAACTCAGTGATTCTTTTTTTTGAATTTTTGATATTTTTTTCTGACACGTTAGTGTTCTATCTTTCACTTGGATGTTATAAGTTGCACTTAAATACAGCTGAATAAAACAAAAACAGTGTCTGTCTTCATTTCAGGATGCCAAGAACCAACATGCACTTGTTTTAAAGAGGGGGAGGGGGGATTCTTTTCTCTACCCACTTTACATCTTAATCCCTCCCCCCCCTCCTGTCCCGTTACAGATTAGCCACTCCCACTGCAAGCCTGATTTGATGGTTCGGCTGCGCGGGGACATATTTCTGTCCGGTGGAGGGATCTGTATTTCTTCATTGGCCGGCGTTGTCTTTAGCGGGATACGGGCGCGGTTGTCGGACGCGGAGTATATTATCTGGAATTGCCCGTGTGGATGACAGTCGCAGATATTTCCCCCTTCGCTGTGTTTGTGATTCCACTCATTCTGTCTATAAATAGTTCACTGATAAGCGGAATTTATGGGATGTCATAAAATATTATTACCCCCTCCCCCCCCCCCCCCCCCCCCCCCACCCCCAGTACATACATTGCTGATAAATAGGCCCCTCCCACTTTTCCTTCCTTGTTCTAAAGGTGAACAAGCATGATGCAACCATGTGAGCTGTTATGACCTCACCTGCCCCGCCCCCCACCCTCCCCTGCTTTAATGACCAATTGCACGCAGCACGTCTGCCAGCCGCTCATTCAGAGGAATAAATGTTACATTGTATCCAATCCTGACAACAGAAATGTAACGTTTCTCCTGGTGATCCTGCCAGAAGCACTTCCTGTCCCAGGGTGACAACGCTCACTGTACTGTACCTATGGAGCTGCAGTGTTGTCACCCTAGGACAGGACTACAGAACACCTCCCCTCCCCTCTATAATACAGAGAGGAGGTGTTCTGTAGTCCATAATGAGGTTCCATTACAAATGAATATTATTGCATCCCACCAGCACAGGAAACGTGTGAATGGATCCTTGGCGCAAGTATTCCTGGTCTTCAGGCCATCACCCACCTTTCCCCTGTCCCAGAGATTGCCATGGTCCTTATATTGCAGCGTTGTGTCATTCGTAGGACCGCCCCCTGCGTCTATTTCCCGGCTGACGCCGTTCTGTGTTTTATTTTGCAGCGTACCAGCTGATCACGGTGATCATATCGGCGGCCGGCGGGGGTCTCCTCCTCATCCTGGGCGTCGCTCTGGCCGTCACCTGCTGCAGGTTCGTAGATCTTGCTCCTCCCAGGTCATGGAGAATTCAGCTGTGACCCCAAAATATGGACAATGTAGAGGGGGGAGGGGCAAGGACCGGATTGGCTGATCTGAGAATGAATTGGGTGGGGGAGGGGACAGATTTCCACCAAGGAACTGACTTCCAATGTGATTCTGTGTTTCAGGAAGAGCAAACACGACATTAGCAAACTCATCTTCAAGAGCGGAGACTTCCAGATGTCCCCGTACGCCGAGTATCCGAAGGCCCAGCGCTCCTCGGATTGGGGACGGAGACCATCGAGATGCAGGAGAACGGGAGCACCAAGAACCTCCTGCAGATGACCGACATCTATTACCCCGTAAGGAATCCCCCGCCCCACATTGCAGCCGGATTCAGGCTCTGGTCACATGATCGTCTTCTGTGCAACCTCCCACTCATGGCTCATTGTGTGGCCAGAAGGGGGTGGTGGCGCTGGAACTCGGGAACACACTGGCTACATTGAACCAGATTCCAGCTGAGGAGGATAGGAGAAGGGAATGGATGGGACAGTTGGGTGGACATAGGAGGCAGATGTCTCAGGGGCCCAGCGCCTATAGGGGGCCCAACTGGGTATACAGTGTGCTGTAAATGTAAGGCTGACAGAGAACATTAACCTGTACAGTCTGTAGGGCCAAATCTGTAGGGAAGAGGCGGAACAGTGCTCTCTCCTTCCCAATCCGTGGCTGCAGATCCAGTGCTCCGACTTCAAGGGTTCCCACACCCCGGCAAGACACACTACTGGAGAAAAAGTCGGCATCCGGGGAGGTAAAAAAGTCTGGTCTTCCTATATGGAATCGCATGAATGCAGCCGTAAAACAGCCAACGCATTTTAGAATTGACTAAGGCCTAATGGCCGAAACGCGTCGGGGTGTTTTACAGCTGCATTCATGTGATTCAATAAAGGAAGGCCAAACTTTTTTTTTCTACTTGAGTGACGACCTTTTTTCCAATGGAGTGTAAAAAAGTCTGGTCTTCCTCAAAGAAATCGCAGGAATGCAGCCATAAAATATCCAACACGTTTCTTCTATTAGGCCTTAGTCATGACTAAAACTAGTTTGATGCTTTACGGCTGCAGTCTTGCGATTCCATTGAGGAAGACCAGACTGGTCATGACTAAGGCCTATTGGCCGAAACGCGTTGGAGTGGTTTACAGCTGCATGCATGTGATTCTATAAAGGAAGGCCAAACGTTTTTGACCTACTTGAGTGCCGACTTTTTCTCCAGTGGAGTGTAGAGAAGGGTTAGAACCCCTATCAGGTTATTTTTTTACTACCTGTGGAGATTTTTCCTTCTCACTTTCTGTTCCAGAGACACGGCAGGAAGTGGGAAGGTCAAAAAAGTCTGGTCTTCCTATATGGAATCGCATGAATGCAGCCATAAAATTTCCAACGCGTTTCTTCCATTAGGCCTTAGTCATGACTAAAACACGTTGGATGCTTTACGGCTGCATTCATGTGATTCCATTGAGGAAGACCAGACTTTATGGTCATGACTAAGGCCTAATGGGCGAAATGCGTTGGAAATTTTAGAGCTGCATTCATGTGATTCAGTAAAGGAAGACCAGACTATTTTCACCCACCCGGGTGCCGACTTTTTCTCCATGGAGTGTAGGGAAGGGTTAGAACCCCTATCAGGTTATTTTCCCTCTCACTTCCTGTCCCAGAGACATGACAGGAAGTGAGAGGAAATTCCTCCACAGTGAGGGGAATTCTCCTCTTCACCAGAACAGGAGTCCCCATTGGAGACTTATTCCCACTTCCTGCATCCCAGAGTTGAAACCACCCGCCATGTTTTCCCGTTTCCGCCATATTCCACCCTGAAATACGTGCGCTGTGTAACGCCCATCGCGATCCGGCCACCCTACACTTGTGGTGCCGCCCATGGCGCTTGCTTGTTGTCATCAATGGACAAACACCCCACCTACAGATTTCCTCACCCTCTTCCCGATACTGAGAACCAATACGAACAATAGGGACACATCTATAAAAAATGGAAAGTCTATTCCTGGATCCTGATTGGCTGAAAGCCGTGCCGGGCAGGAGGGCGATGCCGCTGAATTGGAGGATAGAATTCTCATTAGCAGGAACGGGTGGAGAATGCGGGCAAACCGAGAGGATTGGGAGTCATTTGTAAAATCAGGAACACCGAAGGAAACTTTTCTCTGTTCCAAATAGAGGGAGAAGGGTTACACATGTGCTTTTCATATCTCCATCAGGGAGATTTATCCTCACTTCCTGTCCCAGTGACTACATAGAAAGTGAGGGGAATTCTCCCCACTGGGGACACACATAGGAATAAGAACCTAACAGAGGTGCCAGCACTTTCCTGCTCTTTTCTGATGGATCCTGGATGGATGACACTCAGTGCTCTGGACTGAGACAAGGACACACCATAGAGGGATGTGCTTTGTTCATGTTTCATGTCTGAGGGTTACAATCACTGTACTGCACATTGGCCGGCGGTGAATGTCACATTCCCCCCCCCCCCCCTCCCCCGGTGCCTGGCTGGATGAGGAAATAACTTGATTCCATAGATTTATTGATCTCGGTGAACCTGTGTGGCGGCAGCGGGGTGGCGGTTTCCGCGTTGTTGTCTGATTGTCCTCCCCGGCAGGGAATTCCCGACTCTAACAATCTCCTCGTCTGTTTTCAGCCCGGATTGCGGAGCTCGGAGGCGGAGCGGAACGGCCTGTACCCCTTCACTGGGCTCCCCGGATCCCGCCACTCGTGTATCTACCCCGGACAGTACAACCCGTCCTTGGTCTCAGGATGGATCCCGCCGCGCTCGGATGGTTCACGGACCAGAATTCCACCGAAGCGCGTTGGCGGCCCGTGTCCTGTATGTAGCCTTCCTCTGCGGATCGACCTTCTTCTCCGAGATGAGACTCGTCCTGATGTTCGATTTCCACTCATTAATGGGGTGTCTGGGAGGGTGAAGGATCGCAACTGCAGCGTGGGGCCCCCTGCTCAGTGAGGGGCCCAGGGGGAGCCGCTTGGGGCTTTGATGAAAAATAATGGTAGCGCCGCAACCTAAAGCAGCTACTAGGGGATGCAGACCCCCGCCTGCTGCAGTGTAGGCGGAGTTACACAGATTTAAAGGAGGAGTCCAAAGACAGACCAGGACAACCCCCACCATAAAGGAGAAAAGATAGCCCCACCCAACTAACCCCCCCACCACACCCCCACAATAAAAAAGGAAAGATAGCTCCACCCAACTAACTCCTCCCCCCCAACAAGCTAAACTGTGAATAGGAGTGAAGGAGTTAAATGATGGCGGGTCGTCTTTCTTTTTTTTGATCCAAGTTGTCTCTGGACACGGCACACGTCCTCCCTCACTAATTCTGCAGTTTGGTTGTCGCAGCTCCTCCCCTCGGTCTGGTCATAGGCTATTGCCACTCACTGCCAGCCAACCGCAGAGCAGGAGAGAGGGAGTGAAGTATTGCATCCCCAGAATGGAGCTGCACCAGTTTCCAGAGACGACACGCCAGAAGAATCTACAGCTGGAGGAGGGGATGCTGTCCTCCATAACAGGGATGGATATTGGGGTGTGGCCCCGTGTGACCTCGCTATTTACTGGACAGAAGCGGGGTAACAATCTGTGAGGGACGTCCTACAAATCCTCATATTGTGTGCCGGGACCGGAGCGTCTCTGAGGTTCCATTAGTGGGGTCCCTCCCTTATATTGCGATCACTGCGCTGTGGGCGGGGCTGGTGTCGATCAGTGGGGTCTCCCTCCCTTATATTGCGATCACTGCACTGTGGGCGGGCTGGGATCGATCAGTGGGGTCTCCGTCTCCCTCCCTTATATTGCAATCATTGCGCTGTGGGCGGGGCTGGGATCGATCAGTGGGGTCTCCGTCTCCCTCCCTTATATTGCAATCATTGCGCTGTGGGCGGGGCTGGGGTCGATCAGTGGGGTCTCTGTCTCCCTCCCTTATATTGCGCTGTGGGCGGGGCTGGGATCGATCAGTGGGGTCTCTGTCTCCCTCCCTTATATTGCGCTGTGGGCGGGGCTGGGATTGATCAGTGGGGTCTCTGTCTCCCTCCCTTATATTGCGATCATTGCGCTGTAGGCGGGGCTGGGGTAGATCAGTTGGGTCTCTTTCTCCCTCCCTTATATTGCGCTGTGGGCGGGGCTGGGATCGATCAGTGGGGTCTCCGTCTCCCTCCCTTATATTGCGATCATTGCGCTGTGGGCGGGGCTGGGATCGATCAGTGGGGTCTCTGTCTCCCTCCCTTATATTGCGATCATTGCGCTGTGGGCGGGGCTGGGATCGATCAGTGGGGTCTCCGTCTCCCTCCCTTATATTGCAATCATTGCGCTGTGGGCGGGGCTGGGATCGATCAGTGGGGTCTCCGTCTCCCTCCCTTATATTGCAATCATTGCGCTGTGGGCGGGGCTGGGGTCGATCAGTGGGGTCTCTGTCTCCCTCCCTTATATTGCGCTGTGGGCGGGGCTGGGATCGATCAGTGGGGTCTCTGTCTCCCTCCCTTATATTGTGCTGTGGGCGGGGCTGGGATTGATCAGTGGGGTCTCTGTCTCCCTCCCTTATATTGCGATCATTGCGCTGTAGGCGGGGCTGGGGTAGATCAGTTGGGTCTCTTTCTCCCTCCCTTATATTGCGCTGTGGGCGGGGCTGGGATCGATCAGTGGGGTCTCCGTCTCCCTCCCTTATATTGCGATCATTGCGCTGTGGGCGGGGCTGGGATCGATCAGTGGGGTCTCTGTCTCCCTCCCTTATATTGCGATCATTGCGCTGTGGGCGGGGCTGGGATCGATCAGTGGGGTCTCCGTCTCCCTCCCTTATATTGCAATCATTGCGCTGTGGGCGGGGCTGGGATCGATCAGTTGGGTCTCTGTCTCCCTCCCTTATATTGCGCTGTGGGCGGGGCTGGGATCGATCAGTGAGGTCTCCGTCTCCCTCCCTTATATTGCGATCATTGCGCTGTGGGCGGGGCTGGGATCGATCGGTGGGGTCTCCGTCTCCCTCCCTTATATTGCGATCATTGCGCTGTGGGCAGGGCTGGGATCGATCGGTGGGGTCTCCGTCTCCCCTCCCTTATATTGCGATCATTGCGCTGTGGGCGGGGCTGGGGTCGATCAGTTGGGTCTCTGTCTCCCTCCCTTATATTGCGCTGTGGGCGGGGCTGGGATCGATCAGTGGGGTCTCCGTCTCCCTCCCTTATATTACGATCATTGCGCTGTGGGCGGGGCTGGGATCGATCGGTGGGGTATCCGTCTCCCTCCCTTATATTGCGATCATTGCGCTGTGGGCGGGGCTGGGATCGATCGGTGGGGTCTCCGTCTCCCTCCCTTATATTGCGATCATTGCGCTGTGGGCGGGGCTGGGATCGATCGGTGGGGTCTCCGTCTCCCTCCCTTATATTGCGATCATTGCGCTGTGGGCGGGGCTGGGATCGATCAGTGGGGTCTCCGTCTCCCTCCCTTATATTGCGATCATTGCGCTGTGGGCGGGGCTGGGATCGATTAGTGGGGTCTCTGTCTCCCTCCCGTAATGAAGAAGTCGACGCAGACAATGTTTCTATATATTTTGCAGCACTAAGAGGCCTATTTATAGAAAAACGCGCACAATCGTTCGTCCTGCGAATCCGCATGTCCTGTCCTGTTCGGATTGGGTAAAAACGAACGATCTTTAGGCCATTTCCTCTTCTGAACGAATGTCATGTTATTAGGGGGCGGTAGTGAGGCCCCATTCACGTCGCTTGAAATCGCGCTCCCGCGTGTGACTGTGTGGGCGGTTTTCACGCTACTCTGTGCGTCGCACATTGGGCAGCCCATTTGCTTCAATAGGCCCCCCCCATGCCCATTTGTCACCCCTGCTCCTTTCTGGGCGGCTGGCTTCTTGCGATTTTTAAAGGCACGGTTTGCCGCGACAGCAGCGCGTTTCTTTTCGTGGAAAAATCGCACTGCGTTTGGGGCGCCGTTTAGCAAGAAATGGCAACCAGAAGAACGTTGTGCGTTTTAAGTACTGCCACGAGATTTGTAATCGCTGGCAGAATCACAGCGACTCCGCCCTCGGAAAATCCTCCAAAATCAACGCTCTATGAGCACCAGGAGGAGCCCGAGGAGCGAGGAAATACATACATCTCGGTAACAAAAGATACAATGTAACAATTGAAGAGAAGATTAGAAAACCCCACAAATGTCCCCAAAGGCGAGGAATTCCCTATAGCGTCCTCTAGTGGTTACATTGTATCTTCAGTCACAAAGCCGCGTATTTCCTTGGCTCTCCAGCTCCACCTAGTGGTCATACTGCAGTATTCCCTGTAGCGTCCTCTAGTGGTTACATTGTATCTTCAGTCACAAAGCTGCGTATTTCCTCGGCTCTCCAGAACCACCTAGTGGTCATACTGCAGTATTCCCTGTAGCGTCCTCTAGTGGTTACATTGTATCTTCAGTCACAAAGCCCTGTATTCCTCGGCTCAGCTCCACCTAGTGGTCATACTGCCGTATTCCCTGTAGCGTCCTCTAGTGGTTACATTGTATCTTCAGTCACAAAGCTGCGTATTTCCTCGGCTCTCCAGAGCCACCTAGTGGTCATACTGCAGTATTCCCTGTAGCGTCCTCTAGTGGTTACATTGTATCTTCAGTCACAAAGCTGCGTATTTCCTCGGCTCCTCAGCTCTCCACCTAGTGGTCATACTGCAGTATTCCCTGTAGCGTCCTCTAGTGGTTACATTGTATCTTCACGTCACAAAGCCGCGTATTTCCTCGGCTCTCCAGAGCCACCTAGTGGTCATACTGCAGTATTCCCTGTAGCGGCCTCTAGTGGTTACATTGTATCTTCAGTCACAAAGCCCTGTATTTCCTCAGCTCCACCTAGTGGTCATACTGCCGTATTCCCTGTAGCGTCCCTCTAGTGGTTACATTGTATCTTCAGTCACAAAGCCTCGTATTTCCTCGGCTCTCCAGCTCCACCTAGTGGTCATACGGCAGTAATTCCCTGTAGCGTCCTCTAGTGGTTACATTGTATCTTCAGTCACAAAGCCCTGTATTTCCTCGGCTCCTCAGCTCCACCTAGTGGTCATACTGCAGTATTCCCTGTAGCGCCCCCCTAGTGGTTACATTGTATCTTCAGTCACAAAGCCGTGTATTTCCTCGGCTCTCCAGCCCCACCTAGTGGTCATACTGCAGTATTCCCTGTAGCGCCCTCTAGTGGTTACATTGTATCTTCAGTCACAAAGCCCTGTATTTCCTCGGCTCCTCAGCTCCACCTAGTGGTCATACGGCAGTAATTCACTGTAGCGTCCTCTAGTGGTTACATTGTATCTTCAGTCACAAAGCCGCGTATTTCCTCGGCTCCTCAGCTCCACCTAGTGGTCATACTGCAGTATTCCCTATAGCGTCCTCTAGTGGTTACATTGTATCTTCAGTCACAAAGCCGCGTATTTCCTCGGCTCTCCAGAGCCACCTAGTGGTCATACGGCAGTAGTTCCCTTACTTCCATAATAAAAGAACATTCGTTCAGAAGAGCAAACGTTCGTTTTTTCACAATCCGCACCCATCGAATGTCCGCGTGGATTTGCTGGTCGATTATCTCTGCTAGTTTGATGTGAACAGACCCCCGAACGACTCTGTCACCTGACTGCGCTTGCAGAGAGCGAGGCGTGACAGGTACACTTGGACTCTCCCCTGGCGAATGTTTGGCGTATTTTATCGACCCCCCACGCCGCCATCTTGTAGGTCCGCACCTTATTCTTTGCTCTCAGCTTCGATTTCTTACAATGCAATATGTAAAGCAGGCGCGGTGTGATGTCACC